TAAGATGGTATAAATATTTTGAAAATAATTATAAATATTGATAACTAATTTTATTTTTGAGATTTTGGCTGATTATGTTAAAAATATGGTTTAGTTTGAGGTGTTAACTTTACGCAGTTTGCCAATCAAACAACAAATTCTGTATGATGTACTTTATTTTTAACGGTAAAAGGTTCTGAGCTTCTGCCCTTTTTTATACCAGACTAGGAAATGATTAGCAAAATATTCTGAAAAGTTATTCTCAAAATGATTATAAGTACCTACATAATTTTCAAATGAATTGGCCTTACCTGCCACCTACATATAAAATATATATGCTTACAGTTTGTAGACTACGATCAACACTTTTGCGTAATAATTATTATCATAGAACTATAAACTAATGGACAGCACATAAGCAAACTATAAAGAGATAAATCACCAGACGGGATTCTTAAGAGAGAAAGAGAGGTTTGGGCCGTTACAGTGTGCCAAGACATAGCCAAAAACATATTTTTTCTCTCTCATATGCTCATATGTTATGTTTTCTCTCTCAGTTACAACTTACATTTGTCGTCTGGATTAACCAGGGCAGGGTAGTGTGGGAAGCTTTATAGTTTATAGGTCTATGATTAAATCCGTAAGACCGTAGCACGATATACCTGACGCGGCATGGTTTCTTTTCAACAAATGTCTGTGTGCCGGTTGAAACCGGTGAATAGTTTCTCAGTTGCATCAACAAACGTCTATCCTCCATCAAATCCAAATTCTCCAATCGCACAGCAACTGCTGCCCTGTGCCTGCTAGTTTCCAATTTACTGATCTTCTTTAATGTGCTAGCAATGCGTGTGCTCAGCTCTTTCAATGGTTGTAGGTCATCCTTTTGGATCTTGTTCACCTTCATCGCAATATCGACTATGGGAGAAATACTTGCCTCAACCGGTCGCGCGAACTGCTGACGGTTTATCAAGAGTGACAAGATACTATTAAATACGCCGAAGTCGAACATCGTTGTGTATACAATATAATATATTATACAACAAACATATTATACTCGTTTAAAACGGAAAATTGATGATAAAATTATGTATATTATATTTTCGATTCTAAAATAACTGATTTGTTGACTAGCGTAAGTTGCTATGGCAGTAAAATGGAACTGAACAAATTCACTTTGGTAGCTAGGTACTCATTTTCTTTGAATTTGTTGTAGTCGTCAAATAAATACGTTTTAATTTTAAACTTTTACAGGCTACCGAAATCATCATAAGATCAGTACAAGAAATACAATACAGGTTTTGGTGATAAGCACTGTACATAATTCTTTGGTTAAAAATTAATACACATCCGTGCCTGAAGTAGATATACACAATTCAAGTACCTATAAAAAAAATACCTGCCTAGGTATTTCTTTGTTTAATTGTTTGAATATAAATATATAATATCATAGATATTCAAAAAAATAAGCATTATAATATTTTGAATGAATATTATTATACCTATATTATGTCATTATAATATTATATAATATGTTTAAATTGAGAATATTAATTTTTTTCAAATACATACAAAATAAAATGTTAGTATTATTATATACAATAAACTATTCTGAATTGTCGTTTAGGAACTTCAAACAACTAATTACACCTGATTAACTATCAACTCTTATAAAGTGTCAACGCTGGTTTTTTGTATTCTGTTCGGTTACTTATAGCCTTATGGGTATCAAATAAAACATATTGCGGACACATTTTACACGAATCCCCGAACAAAAGTCCGATGGAATAAAAGTCCCAAATTTAATAATTATTAAGTTAAGTCACTTAATATTTGCTTAGCTCTAAGGACTAAGGTCTAACCATATTATATTGTATGTTATAGACTTCCTATCACTTTATTTGGAAAGTCTTAAATTACAAATTTATTTCACCTAATCTTTACTTAGGTCTAAGGTCTAACCATATTATCCCAACTAGCACCAAAATGTTCATAGCTTATGAAATGAATATTCATCTTGTTCAAACGGAATATTCATATTATCTTATTTTTGAATGGTCTATCATTCTTCTATCAATCTGATTCCAACCAGATTTGTCATTAACATTGATTGATTGAACATGTGATTGAACATATTTATATATTAACCTATATTTACTAACAAATATAGGTAAAAATTGGACAAATTTTAAGGGCTAATTTCACATAAAATAACTTCGGCTCGTCTTTATCACTGTGCCACTCCCTTTTTAGTTTTAAAAATCACTGAAATGTTTGAGACTATAATTTAGTAGGTTATATTATACCGAGCTCAGGATATTTTTTGGAAATGAATTATTAAAAAGCTTCCAAATTAATAATACTAATATTATATTTTATCCAGTGCGTGTCGATCGAAGCGAGAATTTTTAATGTCCAACAATATGTCTACATACCATCTGGTTTCATTTCTTTTTTTTAACAAGTAACAATTCTACTTTGGTCAATGACGTAGTCACGTAGGTGTATACCTACTTATATAAATTATAAATGTTATCATCAACAATAATTATAATTCCTGTCATTAAAATTGTTTTTAAAATGTTCGTCATCAACAATAATTATATACCTATAGGTTACAGTAGACATACAACGTTCAAAATTATCAAGGTCATCTATCTACCTTGATACTAATAATAGGTTTTTTGTTGGTCATTATCTCAATCAGTCATTAAATATTATAAATATCTTACATCACGTGACTTCAACATTAAGCAACACTAATACTCAGGTAGGGAGGTGGATATATTGAATATTCTATTTTCGATTTGTGGAGGAAGGATTTCGCGTGTCAGGCAATTTTTAATACAACTGGTAATTAATCGGTTATTACCCCCTACTATACTTATGTTTTTACATTGGTAGGTAGGTACCTATCCAACACGCATATAAAAATAGTAAATACGGCCGTTCAGAATGATGTTTCAGATTTTCAGTTATTGTTTGGACGCCGATAAGCACTAGGTCGTGTAGTATTTATAATATTAAAAAACAAATTTTAAAACAAAAATGGAAAAATGGAATGGAAAAGTTGCTGTAGTGACGGGTGCTTCTTCTGGGATCGGAGAGGAGACTTGTCGACAACTGGTTGAAAGGGGAATGATTGTTGTGGGTTTTGCTAGAAGAGAAGATAGACTTCAGGTACGCTATATAGAGTTCAGTAGTTATAAAATGTAAATAAAATCAATGTGTTAGGTTTTTAGAGCTAATTCAATATATTTAACTAAACATTTATATTTATTAATTAATTTATCAATATGGTTTCATATTATTTTATAAAATATAGCTGTTACAAACAACAAACGTGTTACATCCGAGTATAGGAAAAGTGTAGATCGGTGTTTTGCAACCTATTTGATATGGAGTCTCACGGAAGAAAATTCAATTTTATTATTGTTATGCGTATGAGTATGATATTTTTATCTTAACATAATTTAATCTTTAAATCTTATAATATGTTTGTGACCCATCAATAAAATTTCTCAAGCCATGGTTTTGGAAACATTTGTGAAACATTGCGACGTTGAACTTATTTATCAATTTTGAAGATACTGCAGTCGTACTTATTTGTGAATTGTGACAAGAATACAAGATTATTTTAGATTCTGAGTTGACCAATGAATGTTCTTGTTTTACAATGATTATATTATGTTTTATATTTACCGAGCTGTCTTACTATTCACATCAATATTGCAAATGTGTCCTTGATATCTTGGAAACAAATTTTTTTGAAAATTTCTATGTCACGGTTCATTAAATTGTAACATAAACTTTTTATGAGGTGTCATAAATTAGACATATTTTCTTACAATTAATACTGGGTAAGTTTTTGACCCACAAAGTAAATCAAACATCCTATGGTTTTGAGACCCTTGATCGCACACAATACCTACTGGCAACAATTCAACTACTTAATTTTTTTTTATGTATTCAGTTATTATTTCAACTAGGTCTGTTCAATTTACACCAGATCCGCTAAAGAAAAATTCAAATGCAAATTTCCAATTTTGATATAGGCCAAGAATCATTATTGCTAAGACACTTTTGGATTCATCTGAAAATCGTCCAAATTGCTTTATATCTTGATAGACTTCTATAAAATCAAGTGCTATGTTGAATCCTATACAATTTATTAAATAAACTTCATCTAGTAAAACAACATTTTTTTTTGTATTAATGCATCGATGAAACTTTATATTTGATCTGTTGAATGTACTCAATTGGGAAACCAGGAGAATAATTTAATACTTTGCAACCAAAGTCTCATAGTACTTTTACCATTTAGGTAGTATTTTCAATACGTTAAGCAATAACGAAAAAAAACATTAAGTAACGTATACGAAACACTTCAGGGCGTAAATAAGATTTTAATTTCTCTAGACTGTTCTATTCAATAAAATATTTTAAACCAGAATATAACCTCCCTTCTCACAACTCGAGTGATCATACCATGAAACCAGAAACTCAGGCAAATGATCAAACTACTGGCGTTATTAGCAATAATCCACAAGGTCATGCGGCAAATTCCGAAGGGATATCGAACCAGGAACCCAAATGATATCTAATTTTCAGGGAATGGAAGAAAATCCAGATAAATCGGTAGCACGTTATTCGTGTGAATCAAGAGGAGATACGATAAGACTAGATTCTGTTCTTTAACTTTTACTAAGTTTGATTTTTGGGGACAAGCAGGAGGAATAAGAAATATATCTGGAAAAATATGAGGCTGCGTTAGCAATCGCACATGACAACATACAGCCTCGGTTCCTCCATGGAATTCAAGTTCGATTGATGATATTTGACTTGTTTTCAGAGTTATTTTCTTCGAAACAGAAAATCGGGGAAGATATAATCAGTTCAAAATAAAATCATTGTAATTTATCAGACAAATGAAGTCATCATTCCTGAATTGCGTGAAATCGGGCTACAACCCCACACTGAAACTCGTATTAATCGAAACAGAGAATCGTTGAAGTCAAGAAATCATGAAATCAGTTGTGTGCAGTAACGAAGTAACCAAAGCGCAAAACAAAAGGGTTTTAGTTACACTTATTAACCCAACCAAGGAAGTAATAAAACTTAAGATGCCGAATCTAGCACAACTGGTTCACGAAGAATTCAAGGAAGCACTTATTAATTTGGTTCTAGTCAAAAATCTGCAAGAGGAACCTCAACCAATCAGTTGCTGACTCATACTATTGTATAGGATTCAACATAGCACTTGATTTTATAGAAGTCTATCAAGATATAAAGCAATTTGGACGATCTTCAGATGAATCCAAAAGTGTCTTAGCAATAATGATTCTTGGCCTATATCAAAATTGGAAATTTGCATTTGAATTTTTCTTTAGCGGATCTGGTGTAAATTGAACAGACCTAGTTGAAATAATAACTGAATACATAAAAAAAAATTAAGTAGTTGAATTGTTGCCAGTAGGTATTGTGTGCGATCAAGGGTCTCAAAACCATAGGATGTTTGATTTACTTTGTGGGTCAAAAACTTACCCAGTATTAATTGTAAGAAAATATGTCTAATTTATGACACCTCATAAAAAGTTTATGTTACAATTTAATGAACCGTGACATAGAAATTTTCAAAAAAATTTGTTTCCAAGATATCAAGGACACATTTGCAATATTGATGTGAATAGTAAGACAGCTCGGTCAATGCCAAAAATAACAAAAACTCATTTACATCCAAATGTGTAGCAAAAAATGTCAGTGAAACATGCAACTCAAATATTTAGTAGGTAAATCAGTTTCAGCATCAATTTGTACATGTATCATGAGAAATAACATCAGGCACAGCAGAAGACACAGCAGAATTTATAATGCAAATCAATGACACTTTCGATATTTTAACCAGTAAAAGCTTATGCAACAAAAATCCTAATTCTCGGCCATTCAGTGAAACTAACAAAAACTTATTTAAAATTTTAAAAAATACACGCAACATATTCCTCGAAGCTAAAAACTGTATAAAACAAAAATAATAAGTCACAACCTCCATGCGTTACATGAATCGTATGGTCATCACAGAGAAAAAGTATACATGGAAGATCCAGATCGCTTGTTTATGTTATCACTTGTTGATGACCTTAAGTAAGTACCGGCCCATTTAAAAATGTCAGTAAAATCGAATATTATGCAAGCTATATCAATAAGATAATGGACTGCAGATGCAAAAACCTCCAGGTGTGAAGGTGAATTTTGATCCATATTGTCAACTTAATAAGCAGTACAGTATCCTCATGTCACCCGTATTCACCATAAACAATATAATACTCAATAACACCGACCACAATCCAGCTTTCAACAACCATTAGTAATAACTGGGGAACAACAACTTAGCCAACTAACCTTTTAATCTAATCTTTCTAATCAATCGTCAACATCAAGGTTAATTTCAGTATCGTCACAAAGCTACGTCTCTCCTATTGAAACATATTCTAATCAGTCATCAAATTAATCAAATTTAGTAACATATATAAATGATTACAATATTAATGATTAATAATTTCATAATATAAATATTGTAAAAGTAGTTAAATATTAAAATTTTATCTATTACTTAATTCATTTTTTTAACTTTTATATTTCTGGTTGATTTATAGTAAATTGTTTTATCATTATTATTTTATTTTAATATTATTTTTACAATGGTGTATTGGTGTTTATTTTAATTTCTAACTGTTCTTATATTTTATACGAGTATGTTTTAGTTTCTTTTAATATAAATATAAATGTTGTATGTTTTAACTAATAAATTTCAGTGTTACTTATTGAATTCAAATGTTTTTAAACTACGTTTTATATTTTAATTACCTATATAGTTAAAAATAAATAAACTTACCTTAATATTACAGCTAATCATTCTTCCGTAGTTATCGACATCGATATTTGTATCCTCTTTTCGGACATCATATTTTATAGCACCGTGCAATTCAAAAAATGAATTCCTCAAAATACGAAAATAATTAAGAAACTTTGAATGGTATTGTAAGAGATAAGGAAATACATTTTTAAAATGTCCTTGTTCATTTCTTTGACTGACAATTGGATGTACCCACAATAGTCTTAGTTTTTTAATTTCTTTCGTTTTTTTAATTATTAAGGCAAAAAGCATGATTGCCGTGTCTACGTCCATTTAAAAAAATTAACTCATTAAAAAATGTATACGTATTTTAGTATTTAAGTATTTTAAAACGAAGAACTCATACCATAAATAGGCGTCTGGAAAAAATGTTTATACATTTTTGGGTAGTGAATCGGACACTAGCGTATGACATTAGTGTACACTAATGCTAACTTAAAAGAACCTCTCATTGTTCATGAACGGCCAAGTTTACTATTTGAAGTTTTAAGTACTGACATCTTAACTTATTTAGGTAAAGATTATATTGTAATCTTTGATCACTTCTCAAAATGACTTGAAATTATTGATATTAAAAGTAAAAGTGCTAAAGAGATATTAGATAAATTTAAACAATCTAACATACCTAATACTTGCTGATAATCAGCCATATAACTCAAAAAAGTTTAAATAATTTTTGAAACAAATTAATTCAGATCTTAGGACATCAAGTCCATTATATCCACAGTCCAATGGTATAACTGAAAAGGCTTTACAAACCGCTAAACAAATGTTAAGAAAAGCCAACTATGAAAACAAAGACTAAGTGATTTATTATTGGAGTATAGGTGTATAAGAATACCTTGATGCATCTCCCTGTGAACTAGGTATGAGTAGACTTTTACAAACTAAGTTTTCAGTGCATAAAAAACTGTTGGAAAGAAGAGTGATTGAAAAAAGTGAAGACAAGACTGAAAAATATAAAGAGAACTATATAAAATACTATGATACTAAGACAAAAGATAAGTCAGAGTTTAAAAAAGGAGACACAATAGCTACAAGAGAAAAATATATATGGGTACCAGGAGTAGTTTTAGAAAAAATTTAAAAGTACCCCAGATCTTATATTGTTAAAAAACAAAATGGTCAAGAACTGAGAAGGACTAAGTGGAGTTTAAGAAAATTAGATGCTCAAGTGTTCAATTATAATTACAGTGATCATAATGACATTGTAGTTGAGGAACAAATTGATGAATATGATTTAACCGAAAACAAACAAAGTTATAAGGAGATAAAGCAAGGAAAAAACATAGTTGTTGAAGATGTAGGACCAAAATGCTCAGGAACAGATGAGTGTAGATTAAAAAAACACCTTCAGGTAGGAATGTAAAAAGAAAGCAATGTTCTGATTTTAAACATTGTTAACTTGTGGGTAATTATTTGTTATATATTTTAATTATTATATTATTAAAAATGATGCTTATTTATTTATTTATATTTTAATGGCATTGATAGAGGTGGATGTTGTATAAATGGCATCACTGTATTTTTATGTAATTAAGAAAAATGTAATTTGTACTGAAACCATACATATGTAAAATGTTGTTGTGTCATCGTAAACTATGTGTGCTATAATGAAAAGTATAATAAAACAAAACATAAAATAACTTAAACCTAAATAAGTGTAATATGTTAATTATTTGTTTATTATCCGTGTTAATGAAAACAAGACAAACATAATATAAGGAACAGCCAAAATTAATATAGCTGTGGTAGAGAATACAAATGTATATTGCTTAGTTTTCTAACAATCAAAAGGACAACTAATTACATACTCTTCTTATACAACCAGTATTTTAAGGCAATAAAATGTATTATGCTATAAGCCTATAAATGTTAACCATAATAAGAGCATGCTAAACTTTTTATGGTATCTAGTAGGGATCTAGCGGAAACAATAATTTACAATTATTATAAGTTTATCAGGAAACCGTGCATTCAATGTACTACTATAATAATATATAACTAAAAAGTAATAAGATTGTCAGCAATATACAAAATAAAATCATTTATAGCGGATAGATATTATACAATACATTTGAGAGCTAAGTGTCTGAGTATAATATTTACTAATAAGCAATAAATAATAATATGTAGTATAAACATAAAAAACATATTTAGAATTTTAAAAATAATTTAAGATTAAACATAATGACAGATTTATATGATATTTATTATAAAAACGTGTGCCTTAATTACATGAATATAATTTACAAATAACAGATTTTTTTATTATGACTACAAGTTAAGCACATTTGCAATCGAGTATAATACATGGCTCACAAGGATATGCTGTATTATAACTAGAAACCTCACAACAACCTTTACTGGACCTATTAATAGTTTAATCTGATTAGTCACCAGTAGTAAGAGGATCCCACACTCTATATATATATTTATAATTGTACAATACTATAATTATATACAATTACTATAATATATAACTAAAAAGTAATAAGATTGTCAGAAATATACAAAATAAAATCATTTATAACGGATAGATATTATACAATACATTTGAGAGCTAAGTGTCTGAGTATAATATTTACTAATGAGCAATAAATAATAATTATAATAATAATAATATGTAGTATAAACATAAAAAAAATTTTAGAATTTTAAAAATAATTTAAGATTATACATAATGACAGATTTATATAATATTTATTATAAAAATGTGTGTCTTAATTACATGAATATAATTTACAAATAATTGATTTTTTTATTATGACTACAAGTTAAGCACATTTGCAATCGAGTATAATACATGGCTCACAAGGATATGCTGCATTATAACTAGAAACCTCACAACAACCTTTACTGGACCTATTAATAGTTTAATCTGATTAGTCACCAGTAGTAAGTGGATCCCAGACTCTATATATATATTTATAATTGTACAATACTACAATTACTATAATAAACAAAATGTTTTACATTTAGCTTAGTACAAAGATATTTTAATGAATATAATTTAAAACACCTACTAAAATTAATTTTATCACTTAATAATGATAAATTATTATAGAATATTTTTTAATTATGAAATAACTACGAATAAAACCATTTTTCTCAAATAGAGAAGAATATAGTCAGTTGAAGTATAATAAAAGCACATAATTTCTATTTTTGTTGTTAAAAAACTTAGCATTTTCTTTTTAGAAAACGAATAAATTCCATAAATAAAACCACAATTTTAATTTAAAAATTAAATAGTTAATTTATTTAATAAATTTTAATATGCAATCATATGATTGTCTTAAAAACAAATTAATAAATGAATATAATATTTAGTTATTTAGAACTTCAGATGATTGATAAATAAATTCTTTATTTGATTTTTACTCCGGTGTAATAATAGTTACGTTTACAGATAACAATTGATTGACATTTTGAAAAATATATTTATACTATTTTGTTGCGATACTTACGCCTTATCGCTTGTCAAAGACAAAGGACCTTGATTTTATACTAGTAAATTACAAGATAAATTATTAGTAATGAATGTAAAAAAAAACAACAATTATAATAATAATTTGTACTTTTTTGTATCAATGCATTTATAAAAATTTAAGACTTATTTATTTTTAATAAAGCTAATATGGCTTTCTAGAACATATATTACGAGATAAATTTGAAGATCTAAAGTGGGAACCTTTTTGAATGTATAGAATCCTGTATACTTCTATAGTTAGAACGAGATCTATTTCGAGATTTTCTTTGAGATTTAGAATGATAAATTGTTAAGGAACTAGAACGAGATCTTAACCTAGATTGCCTTGGAGATCTAGAACATGATCTTCTTGAAGGCCCAGAGAAAGATTTGTTTGTCGGTAAGTAATCATAAAGCGTTAGAGAATTAGAAGAAGATCCAGAATGAGAACATAATCCATCTAGTAGAGAAGGACGTTGTGTAGTTGGTGACAAACACCTTGAAGAACCGCTTTGGTATCCAACTCCGCTGTAAGCACCACGAAGTATAGAACTTACGTGGAATTCAGTATATGGTAAGAACCATTGTTCACATATTATTACGTGTCCATCAATTTCACCTATTTTAATTTATAATCAGTTATATCTATTAAAATTATTAAATATTAAATGTTAAACTCACATCTATCCATATTTCTTACAGCATTTTCAGATTCTTCTGAAGTGGAAAACATTATGTAAGAAAATCCTTTAGAAATTCTATCATAGTGGTTGAAATGTAGATCTAATTTTTTTATAGTTCCAAAATCAGAAAATATTTGTTGAAGGCAATGAACAGTAACTCTCCTGGTCAAGTTAGTAATACGAATACAACATGAAGTTTGTGGGCATTTATTCTTACACTCTATCGGTATACAAGACCTAAAATCATATTATAACTTCATTTCTTGTACTTAAAATAGATAGTAATAGAATATATTAGTAATTACCTTGGTTTTATTGAAGTTCTACTGCCACTTTTTGCATTTTTTACTGTTACATCATACCATCTTTTACAAGTGCTATCACTTATTAATTGCAGGTGTCTGTAAATTAATTTTGATTTAAAATAAATTATAACAACCTTAACTTATAGACATAGTTTAATTATAAAATACAGTAACAACTTATGTATAATAAAATACTTAAACTCACGTTGGCATTTCTTTTACTTGTGAATTGTTTGAAGAATTTTTTGAACTTGACATATTTAAAAAAGAATTGAATTGAAAGTTTTTTGAATTGGAATTACCGCGGCTAGAATTTGAAGAAGCCATGCTAGAACCTTAGTAATTTAATAACATATTATTAATTCAAAATAAATCGAACATATTATCGGTTTTCATTTCTTACCTATTACACAAACTGTGCCTGCCAAACAACGAAATGTATATTTTATTTATGGTATCTTCTTCTTCTATAATGATGTTTTCTTCTGTAACATCTTTTTTTAATATTACTAATGATATTTTCAATCAGTTAACGTTACAATAATTGTTTGACTTTTTGACCTATAGTATTGAATTAAGTACTTATAAAGATTGGAAGAAATGTGCGTACTAGTATTAATTATTCCAGTTTCAAGTGCAATAGCCGGAAAAAGTTTTTTGACAATGAGAAGAATAAAAACCTACAACGCATCAACTATGACCGGAAAACGATTACATACCTAACCTAGCTCTGCTTTCAATTGAGAAAGAAAAAAATGAAAAATGAATGAAAACCCCAGACAAAGTTCTGGAAGAATTTGCATGTGATAAATTGGGAAGATTACACTTTTCTATTCAACTATTTCAATATTAATCAATAACTATATCAATAAATATAGATAAATAAAATTAATTAATTTTAATACAACTAAACAAAAATTATTCATTATCTAATATATTATTATATTAACATAAGATACTTTAGTTATTATAAATTATAAACTTATCTAAGAGTCCAAATTAACTTATATAATGCAATACTTATTGTTTGAAAAGGGTAATTACTTTTTAACGAAAGTTTCCACTGTATATCTCTAAAGGAGCAGAAATAAAAATTGGTTTTAGCCTGTGACCTACCTACCTAAGCAAATCGAGGGATGTTTTCGATTTAAACTGTCCTATCTAAAAAGTTCCCACTGGGGTTTTTATAGGTATTTTTTTGGTCAGTATAGAGATGCTCGGCCGGACAGTTTAAATCAAAAACAACTCTCAATTGTATATGAAAAGATACCTCGGGTCAAAGGGAAAAATCCTAATTTTATAGATTTTAACAATTTCATAGACCCGGCAGGATCAGTTACTCACTAAACCAGGAAAAAATTTACATAATAAAATACAAAAAATAACCAAAAAAATTATAAATCACAACAAATACAAAAAAAAAAAAATGATAAATATTTGAATTATTCAGGAAGGTATAAAAATGAAGCTACAGTGCCCTACATAATATTTTGAACAAACTTGTGAATCGCAGTGGCGTCATTTGGGGTGTGGCAACTGGGGCATTGGCCCCAGTCGGTATTTACATCAACTTTAAGTCGGAACATTTACCAACACCATCCCTCCTCCTTTAACCACTATGCTACGAGAATCTGAGTGAAAAAAATTTTGAGTAGGAAAAACTGTGAAAAGTTGCCCTAGTCTAATAAAATTTGAAATGACGCCACTGGTGAATCGGTTAAAGCAATATAGAGTATCTTGTAGTCATTCATACATCAATATCTATTATTACGTCAAATTCTAACCATAGGTAATTAGGCGTGCCTACTCAATATACTTAGATATCATGATTTATGTACGTACCGGTTCAATTCAGTGTTTTTCAAAAATTTGATAATTATCCGATGAGAAACTGCAGATTCCACACCACTGGATTACCGGATGACCTGATGGAAAAAAAATAACATAGTTTAATGTTTGTTACAATATTTTTTACAAGACGTGTGTTTACCTACGGTGAACGACAAGCACGATATGTCGATATGATGCTATTATTTTTTAATCAACCCAATACCGAAAACTGTCACCGTGGTTGTCCAGTTGAGCCGTTGTAGTATTTAATGTTTACGGTGTATTGAACTGTTACTGTAGCCGCCAAATAAAAATTACAATAACAAACGATTAAGCAACGAAGTTATACAATGCATGTCGTTTTAGACGTGGAGTCTAAAGACGCTATAGCTGAGTTGACGCTGCACTGGACAGTGGACAATGGACATTGGACATCCACATTCCCACATTCCACAACCGCAACCAGCGACCCACAGTCACCTAACCAATACAGTAATACCACGTAATACAGTACCTAATACAAGTTATACAACTTGTTATAACAATTATATTATATAGGAATATTCAACACTGTTTAACAAGCGAGATTTTCATATTGATAAGACATGATAACCAGATTACCAAAGTGGTCGTAAATGGTCATATTTTGGCTGACGTGAATAAAATATTAAGATATTGTGTGGTGCTTGAGACTTGGGGGTGAGATGCAAACTACTATGTCATGGGTACTACCTTGTTTTTTGGTACTGTATTATAGTTTACTACTGGGAAAAAATGGAACACTGTACCCACTACTGTTGTCTGTTGTAGTATAAAAGTGTATTGAAATGATTCTAGGTCAGCTGATCTACATAGTACATACAGGTTATCCGTTTGCCATTGGGAAAACAAATTAACACTGGGAGCGCTGTCGACGCCTATCGTACTGATGGTTGGGCGGGGTTCCCCCTACATGCAGTCGGGACTCGAGTCGGGTTTTCGCGGCATTTCGAATACATTTTGCATTAAGTGAAGTGAAGTGTAGTGAATTTGAACGTATTTGATAATATTAGTAGAAATTATATTTACCAACATATACAGTTAGCTATAAAAGCGTATAAAGTTTCCATAGCAAAATTAATTTATTATAAAAAGTAAAATAACCAACATAAAACTATATCTATACATCCCGAATTGGAAGGTACAAATTGTTTCCACCAGAGCGCGTTTTGTTAATTTGTTTCCCCAATAGTCCATGAAAATATGGGACCCCAAATTATTAAATTGTAAAAACGTACACTCAACCTGATTTGATGTTGGCACGCCATACGTCAAAGTGACAATTAGTTGTACCTACTCCACACCCACACCCTAAAACTTTTATCTACAATTGGCATAGGCATCCTTGATACTCTGAATTCTGATCTTACCGCGTTGGCCTTCGGTTTGCCAATCTTTAACTGTGTATTTCAACTTTTATTTGTTATCCCAATTTCAATTAATAGGGTTCTATCCCCTGGGCGCGATACGATTGCGCGCGGTCCTTATCAGCGGTACCTTTTTAAGCGTACGATTGCGCGCGCTATATTATTTTAACTTTTAACTTGCCAAATATCAACGTTGCCAAATATATAGGTCCATGGTAAATCCGTAGGATACCATAGTAGATTATAGTAGATTATTTATTACTTATTTTTGCCGATATCAGACAAACTTCCCATCACTAAGAATGAATTGGTTATATTATGTATCAAAAATATTATCTTTATTGTAAATGTCCATACATGTACGAATATACCTATACTATAATCGTGCATGATGTGACTATATCAATTAACTATCAGTTGTGTTCGGTTCTAATAATAGTTTTAAAAAAAAATGTGTCAACTATAATATTATATTATTTATTTTTAGGACTACAAACGGGGCTGAAAGTTTCCATAGTATATATAATGCACAGTTTAATAGTGCTCATCCACCAATATTTGTCGTTATAGCTACCCTTATGGAACCTCAGGCAGAAACAGTTACCAAATTATTAACCATTTCCAAAGGTATAATGAAACCAAAATCGAATGAAGAATCAAGGAAAATTGAAAATTTGAAAAATGAACACAAACATTATGTAAACAATAAAACACCAGAAAATTTACTAAAGTATTTGGCCATAGTTGGAAATAGGTATCGGGGGTTTAAAATTTAATATAAATATTAATTTACGAGTATTATATTTTTTCAATTATTAAATTTCTTTATTTTGTATTATTTTTTTTTTAACTTTTTTTTTATTTTTTATTATTTAAGTTAATTTTTTAATTTTTTTTTAAATAACATTTTTTTTATATTATTAACTTTTTGTATTTTTATTATTTACGTAATACATTTGGCAACGTCGCACCCAATTTCACGCGCAATCGTACGCCTTTGAGTAATTAAAATGTTGTCTTTTGTTATTCGGGCACTGCGCGCAATCGTATACCTAAAAAGGTAAAACGCGCGCAATCGTACTCCGCCGTATCCCCTGTCCCCTAGGCGTCTGATATAATATTACAACAGCAGTTAAAAAATATTAAAAATACATACGCAGGTTTATTTTTATAACCATTTAAATTCAAATGTTGACAACATTTATCAAATTGAAAATTCACAAATTATTTTGTAGTTAAAAATGTATAAAAATTACAACTTTTATAAATAATATATTGAAAATTTATAAGGCTAAAGTGCACTTTACCACCCCATATAAATTTTTCGATTGTTTTTTTTTTTTTGAACTTACTTACGTTCACTATTTAACAACAATGGTGCAATCAGAATTTTTCGGTCGGACTTAGTTTCAAAGTTATGGCCTTTGGAAGTCCATAATTTTTTGTTTGACGCAACTCTACGTTTCACGTCTTTCGCGATTTTTTTTTTATTCTTCAGACATATATTAATAAAATTGATAATGAGTACCTATTACTAATTGTTAAGCCTATATGTTGTTGTTACTTACTTACAGCACAATCATTTAATTTTGGATTTATAAATATTAGAATAGAACACTCAATTACTTTTAATAATATAAGGAGTTTATTAACAGGTATTTATTATATAATATAATTTCTAAATATTTATATGTATCGTTCTCACTTAGTTCATCCTCATTATCGTCATTACCCTCATTGCAATTTTTATCATTATCAGCGTATGCGGCCTTAATTGGGTTGTAAAGACTAAATACAATTTTATAAAATTTCAGTGAAAGGTCGATATTTAATGCCTTACCTAACCTAACCTAATAACCTATATATGATTTTTTTTATGATATTGGGGCAGTGAATATTTCGCATGTCACCATAGTCCTTCGATAGTGTTTGTGTGCTGATGGTATTTGGATCTTTAAAGTTAATGCTGTTAATTAAGTGCTAAAAACCTTCATCATTCAAACAATCATAATATACCTAAAAATAGTACCTAATGAGTTAATTTTGTATTCATAATTATTTTTTAAATACATACTCTCCAGCAATCAGAAA